GGTACATATTTTAGTATAATATCACCATCAAGTGGTAATTATGTTGATGCTCAAAGTAGTTATTCAACAATGGATGATGAAAAATTAAATCTTCCATATCAAACACAATCAAATTCTAGTCAATATTTAACAGCTAATGATGAAACATCAAATTTATTAACATCTGATGATAATGATTATAAGAATGAATATGGTAAAATAAATTATGCTTATAATGATTCAAGTTCAGATGAAAATTATTCAAATAAAAATCATCTAAAAAATTTTACAATAAAAAATGAAAATATATCTGAAGAAAAATATTCTGGTGAAGGTGAAGAAAGTAGTAGTGGAATTCAAATTCATATTCAACAACGACGAAAACGTTCAAATGAACAACGTTCATCTTTATCAAATGATTTAACAACACATACATTAGAATCAATAACAACACCAACCTCACAACCAACAACAACAGCAAAAAGTGTTTCATTTAAATTAGAATTAAATGAAAATTTTCAACGTTCTCCACGTTTATCAACAAGTAGTGGAATAACAATACCAAGACAAGAAAGTCTTGAATCACCATTAAATGATTCAAATGATAAATCAATAACAAAAATTTTACAAGAAGAAATACTTCGTAGTAATTTAGAAACAATTAAAAATGATTTAGAATTAAATTCTCAATATGATAAAGAAGAAATATATCCATTAACATCAACACCAACAACAATACAATCAACAAAAAAAAATTCATCATCATCAGAATATGATGCAGGAAGTGAAAGTGATCGTGATTCAACATTTATTGATTCAATTAAAATAACTATACAAGAAAAATTAAATGATATTTATCATGATAAAGAATCATTTATTGATAAAATTAAATTAAAATTTGAACGTTCATTAGATCGTTTAGTTGAAAAAACATTAGCTGGAGAAGATAATACAAATAAATCCGATATAATATCACCATTTACTGATCAAAGTCTTGATCGTTCATTACCAATACAATCATCAAATATTATTCATGCACATAGTGAACAACAATTACAAGCATGTCCAGATGAACTTGATTATGGTACATTACAACGTTTTAGTTCTGATAGTTGTATAATAATACATGTACCTGAACAATATACACCATCATCAACATTATTTTTTGATCAATTAAAAACTGATCAAATAGAAAAAAAATCTTCATCATCAAATCAACAAACATCAGCATTTAGTTATTATACAAAACAAGAACATCAACAACCATCAAGTAGTCCAATAGAAATGTTAAATTCAACAAATGAATTAATTGAAAATATATCACCTATACATCGTTATACACCACGTTCATTAGATGATTCATCAATTGAATTAGGTGAACGTGATATGACAGATATGTCAGATGAATTTGTTTTAGTTAAAAATTTATCACCACCAATAAATACAAAAGATATTAAAAATGATACACCACCATCAAATACATCATCAAGTTCATCTGACAAACATGAAAGTCCTGATTTAATTGATATTCTTCAACATCAATGTGATTATCCACCACTTGATACTGGTTTTGATTTACGTTCTGGTACAACATTAGAAACAGTTTATGAAAGTCCTGAATTACGACAAGATGAAATTAAATCAGGTATAAGTACATTAAGTTTAACAACAAGTGAAAATAATCGTCCATATTCAACTGAACATAATTCATCAAATACACCAAATACAGATGATTCATTAATAGAATTTGAACGTATTGAAATGGAATTATTAAAAAATACATCAACAACAAATATTATTGATATTGTACGTGAAATACGTACATCTGTTGATTCATTAACACAACAACATGATGATAATAATAATAATAATAATAATAATACTAAAATTGAAACATTTATGGATAAAAATTTTCAAACAATACAAAATGATGTTGAAAATATTCTTAATGATATAATTGATATGACAACAAATGATTTAACACATTCAATATCATCACAATCTGATGTAACAACAGTTATATATAAATCTCAACATCAGTCATTTGATGATGATTATGTTGAAATAACACATGATGATATTAAAAATCAAGAACGAAATTTATTTTCATCTGATGAAGATATTCATCATAATCAAACAATATTATCTAGTCATGATAAACGTCGTTTATCAATTCCTAATCAGGAAAATATATCAAGACGTCTTAAAACTCCATCATCAAGTTCATCATCATCATCATCATTTTCATCAACATCTCGTTCTGTGATATATTCTCAACAACATTCATATCCATCAACTCAACAACATCGTTTATTACAAGCTGAAACAGATTTAGCTAGTTTTAAACAACATCAACAAACACAATCAGCAACTGATTTACCATTTTTACCTCCATTTGTAAATACAAATCCAATTAAAAGAAAAAAACAGTCATCATCAGTTTCATCAACACCAACGCTTTTTCCTACTGAATTAACTAGTGGAGATTCTAAGAAAAAAACTCATTCACATCCCGGTTCGTTAGGAGGTAATCAATTACCTCCTCGATCATCATTAATTAAAGAAGAAATTATTTCTTCTCCTATTACATCTGTTTCTCCACATTCTTCTTCTTCTCATCATTCGGATGATTGTTTTTGTGCAGATCCAACAACAACTAGTCATCAACATTAAATTTTAAAGTGGTAAAAAAAAACATCTCTATCTCTCTCTCTCTCTCTCTCTCTCTCTGTTGTAATCGATATAAAAGAGAACTTCTTATTGCGTTTAACTCACTAACATCTTAAATGCTTGCATGTTGTGTATAATTGTGCTTACATATCATATATATATATATAGATAAATATGATTAGGAAAATAAAAAATAGATATTTCATTAATTAATATTCTTCTTTTTTTTTTATTTTAGGTAATCACCATTTTTTAAGTAAGAACAAAGGAAATATATTTTTATATAAATATAATTTTTTGTATTCTATTTAGTCTCTGATGAAAATTATATTTATTGAAGGGCGATCTTCTATTTATTAATTGACATTTTATTCTTTTAACTTTTTTGTCGTCAATCGGCTTCGATCCTTTCTTTCTTTTTCTTTTTTTTTTGTTTCTGTGTGCTTGATTAACATTTTTTTTTCTCTTGTCTTTTTGTGCTTTATACAATACGAGCATAATTGATTGAACAAAATGACGACAATGTATTTAAAAATGTGTTAAACACAATCTTATATCAAAACATAAGTCATCTTATACAAAAAAAAAACGAGATTTCTCTCTCTCTCTCTTTTTTCCTCTTTTCATTTCAATTATTCTCGTTTTTCTTCTCTTCTTTTGTTCTTCTCTTATATTGTCGTCCTATTACAATCTCTATTGCTACTATTCTGCTTATTTGACTTTCTTTTCTTTTTGTTTGTTTTTTTCTTCGCTGTGTCTTTGCTTCACTATATATGTTCATTTGCATTATCATCATTCAGCAAAAAAACAAACCCAAATAAAAAATAGTCTATGAATAAAAAAAAAAGAAAACAATATTCTTTTTCCTGTACCAAAAAAACAAAAAAACTTTACATAAAAAAGAAAACATTGTGATGTATTTTTGAAGTTGAAATATATTAATCCTACAAAACAAAACAAAAAAAGAGAAGAATACAAACAAATTTAATGATAGACAGCTAGAAAAGAAGAAGAATAGAATGTAAGAAAAATAATTAATACCTATTACATATGTGATCGATTGATAGACTAAATAATAGTGAAATAATGTAGAGATTATATTTTGAATTATTTTCGAAATATCATTTAAACTACTTGTGGAGGATAAAAGTATTGATCTCGATTATTAGGTGATAAGGGTACACTTGCTTGATTAGCTGCATCTTTGGAATTGACTAGTCGATAGTGTAATTCAGCACGACCAAACTAAAATATAATTTAAATCTATATGAATAGTATTTATTATTGAGACTTCATTCTCTTATTTTATTTTATTTAAGATTAAAACAATTAATTAATAGAAAAAGAAAAACTCTCATAAGGTTTTGTATCCCTGACGAAATATTTCATTAGACATTGTCATAAAAAATGAAAATAGAACAAACATAAACTAGACTATTTTTGATAGTGCTACAGAAAAGGATTCAATCATTATTATTGTCTTGTTTTTTCATACTACTATCATTTGTTATTATTACTAATGTCTGACACAGAGCTGAGCGAGTACTGAGTAGAGATGTGCAGGGTCATGAGAAAAAAAAATGAACATAATTCAAGCAAGATGATCTAAGCTAAAAAATCAAAAATAAAACCAAGTATTGAAGAATTATTTTAGATGTGATACGAATGAATTCTAGAATAGTCTTCACTAGACTGGAACCAGAACCATGGCCGGAAAAAAAACTTGGTCTCGCACATCTCTGGTACTGACTCTTGAAGTAAGAGCACGTATTCGTACTTGCTCAGCTCTGGTCGGATGAAGTATGTTCTCGGAATGCGAAACGTCACAAGTTGTTTTTTTTATTATGTAATTAATTGTTTTATTATAAAATTAAATAAAAGAAAAGAATTTAATCATGTAAAATATTAACAAAGGAAAAGAAACATTTCCTAATTTTAGTGAATTTTGGATCATTGTATAACTCATGGAGTAATAAACCAATGAGAGAACATTTACAAATGTGACTCGCCAATCGAACTGACATTGTCTCCATAAGTAGGCTCCAAAGAGACTGGTTGAAGCCTGTAAAAGCTCGCCTGCATATGCTGTCCTTTTCAAATTATTACAGTTTTACTGAATGTTTCATTTCTAGTAAGACATGGGTGAAATAATTAAAGTATGGAATTTCAATCTGAAATTTTGTCCATAGATGATAGATCTCATGAACTTGAGAATGTCCTGGTAATTTTAGTCCAAAGGATATGTTGTTCTTGAGATACTGAATATCCAAAAACAGCACATCTTTTTTGGGATGAAATATTCAGGACATTCTAAGATTCACGAGACCTACCTATGAGCAAAATTTCATATTGAAAGTAGATAATCCGATGTTTTTACAAACACTTTGCCAGAGATTAAAAATTCAGTAAAACTGTAATGATTTGGGAACGAATCTTTATGGGCTTCTTCTAGTCTCATCAGGGCTTACTAATGAGCAAAATATCAGTTCTATTAGCACGTCACACCCACGAAGCTTCCTTCATAAGTCAATTAAATGATTTACAAGACACATTGCAGTCATCATCAATATATATGTACAAAATATTAATATTAATGAGTTGAGAACATTCTATTCGTTAAGATTAATCATCCATTGTTGAAAGAATAGGTCAATTCATGGTACTAGCAATTGAAATATGTAAAATACAAACTTATTTATTACATTCGATTTAGTTCAATATGTATATTTACATTATATTTTCCTAAGAGACCTTCTGATCTGAGACAAGAACAAAGAACTGATAGATCTATTACAAATTTATTAAGTATCATATCTTATTTTTTTTCAATCTAGATCAATTATGCTATTTCTAAATGTGACAACGATTGCACTTACTGTTGGCAATCTACTAATAGCAGGAAAACTTTCATGCTGTCGAATAGGTAATTCTTTTAATGGTACTTTCCATCGACCACTCAATAAACGATTTTTATTATTAAATAATGGTAATTTAGTCCAAGCATTTGTACGTAATGGTTCCGTTGGATTTAATTTTGTTGTTGTTTGTACTTCAATAACAACTGTTAATGCTTGTTGTGGTGGACAACTAACAAATAAAAAAATCTCAAATTAAAAAAAAAAACAAAAACAAAAATAATAATTCTTTGTTAATAAAACCTTGGTACAGGTTGTCTAGTAGCAAGTAAAACAACACCCATTTGTTCACCAGATGTTTGATTCATATATAATTCACATTTGAATATTTCTAAATATGATGGTTCACCAAGTCCTGATTGTGCATGATGAAGACATGTTATAAGTCGACATTTATCCATTGTTGAAGGAAAATTAATAATAAAATCAAAAAATATTACAAAACCATTAACTGGATCATATGTTTGTGAATCTAATGGATCTAATAATTTATTTATAGTTGAATTTGGATGATTTATTTGTTGAATTCCACGTGATGTTATCATACCATTATCAAGTATAGGTAATGATGATTGATAAAAATGTCGACGTTGATCAAATTGATCATCATCTGAATTTGTATGAATTCGACGAGAAGATGTTTGATTTAAAGAATTTTTTGATTGATAACGATCAATTATTGATGATGAATAAATATGATTATTTTTATTTGATTTAGTATCAAGCATTCCATTTGTTGCTAAAGTTAATTCTAATTGTCGAGTACCTTATATAAAACAAAAAAAAAGAAAAATTTTATTTAAAAAGTAAAGCAAAAAAAAAATACGTGAATCAAGTATTTGAAATTTACGTTGTACATCATTAAGTTCATTTTTAAGATGTTCTTTTTCATTATTAGCTAATGTTAATTTATCAGTTGTAGATTCAATTGGACGAATTGAACGATCTATAAATAAATAAAATAAAAATAATCAAAAAAAACAAAACAAACAATTGATTTGAATACATCGATATTGTTTTAATGGTTCAGGATAATCTTTCATCCATGGATAATATTCATAATAATGTAATCTATGTTCAAGATCATTATATCGATCAAGAACATTAGCATCATGACCACCCGATTGTAAATATACATTACGTAAAGATCTTGAATAATTAAAATTTCAAAATTTTTTGTAAATTATTCATTTTATATTCTTACCTGACATCATCAGTTGTTGTTCGTCGAGAAGAATTAATATATGGTAAAGATGAAGTATCATTTGAAGTTAATAATGAACTATTAAAAATTAAGTAAATAAAAAAAACAAAAAACTTTTTATTCTATTTAGAATAGATATTTACTTATTATTATTATACATAAGACGTCTTCGTAAATATATTAAAGCTTTTTCATTTTGATCTTGTTGTTCTTTCATATCATTTAATAATTTATGTGATTCATAATTAGGTATCATTGATGATTGATTATCATTTGCAATATATTCTTCAAGTTTATCTTGAATAACTATATACAAAA